TTTTACTTTGTAGCGGATACATAATTCAAATTTATGAAGATATCAACAATTAAAAGTATTTAAATTAGCTCTCTGAACACTTTGAATTCTCTTCTGATGCTGTAAAAAATATAAATAATAAAAAAGATATAATTTCAAGTTAGTATTGACGTTTCTTTGACATTTTTGATATGCTTGCGCAAATACTTGAGCTGTCTGTGCGCACTGTGAAAATACGCTTGAGGTACGCTTGGTTGTGCATTCATTCACTTGCACATGTATACAGTGTTTCTCAAGCCATTGCGACAAATAAGAATTTCAACTACAAACCCGCCTAGTTTGAACCACGTTCGAACACACTAAAGCCCTCGTAAAGGCATTAACGATTGTAAACATTAAGGGATTATGTATGTATATATTATTGAATATATATTCTTGAAATGAATATTTGCTGCCAAATATATATATATATATATATATATATATATATATATACATACATATATATATATATATATATATATATATATATATACAAAAAACTTTTTAGCAGGCATCCATCAAGATAATAGAAAGAAACTAAGATATGTTTCTTAAATTAAATTTAATAGCTCCATACGTTTTAAGTTTCTAATTTGACTCTTCTTCAGTTGAAACAAAACTACAAAAAGTGGCAAAAGAGAAATATTTAAATTTAACATAAGATAAATCTAATATAAAATATATAGTGTAAGAATGAAATGAAATAAAATGTAGAAAACTTACCACACAAGTAATAAACACAAACAAAAACAAGTCAAAACGTCATATCTCGAAGAATGAAATACGAATGCAGTGGAAATAGCAAACATAATCTTCTTTTATCTATAATAGCAAATGTCAACATTTATAAAATTTTAAAGCCCGTAAGTTTTTCTTTCTAATAAGTAAGATTTTTGTTTCTTGTTTTATCAGCATATTTATCACTACCTGAAAAAATTAATACATATTTTTGAATATTTTTTTAACTCATCTTCAGTGCGAATATGTATATATAAATAATTTTAAAAATTACAACATTCACAAACACAAATAAAAGAAATCCGTTCCATTAACATTGTGAAAAAAATATTGTTTTAAAAATATAAACTAAATATGAAGAACAATACTTAGATTGTTATTATTTATTGTAGTAATATAACACTTATATTGCTTGATTTTACTTATTCGGGCCAATTCTGCTGTAAAATAGACCAATGTTTTGGCAAGGCTATATTACGCTGCGTTTTTCATATAAAATGGTCAAAATGCTATGTGGTTGCTGTGCAGTCAGGCATTTTAGATTTAAAACTTAATCTAGGAAACGCACAAACGTCAAAATAAATCTGAACATGAATGCATCCTTCTGATATGTCATAATAACATATGACTGAAGTTACATTTTATGTATAAAACTCCTGATCGCACAGCAAATACATATTATTTTGATAGTTTTGAGTATAATTTTATAAGAAAAACGCAGCGTAACATAGCCTTGACAAAACATTAGTTTATTTTGCGGGAGAATTGGCCCGTTAGTTTAATATAATGTCACGTTTAACCTGAAAACAGAAATTTATATGTAAAATAATGATACTAATAAAATGCACATTTTGTAAAATAGTTTTATCAAAAATTATAAATTATTACAATTATTTTACTTACTTTTACTACTATATACATACATTAACATCTAAATAAATACCAAGTTAAAACATAAATCGCATTTTAAAATCATAAACTTAATTTTTGTATTGGCTTATATCTAAGGACGACCAAAAGTAATAATTTATATTATTTGTATTTATATTTACAGTCTTGCATTAGTAAATATGTATTTACCTTCATGTGCTGTTTATTTTTGCCTGCAAAACTAATTTACTTAATTATTCATGAAAATTAACAACTTTCAGCATCTAATAAAGTATGAAATTAATGCATAGTGTATATGCAACTTAGCAAATGTTGATCTTATAATTTTATCTATACAAGGTTTTATGACCAATAATATAAATTTAAAATATCAGCGAAATCGTGCATAATTATATATATATATATATATATATATATATATACATATATATATATATATATATATATATTGAATACTGTTGAATAGTTATTGCGTTTTCCATTTGTAAAATTTGCATTAATGGCATTTACTTCAGGTAGATCATGAATTGATTCCAGGCGATGATTCTTCGAAATCATTAGAAAAATGCTATGAAGGCAGCGGCAGGGCTAGGCGAAGGCAACTATTGCGAACGCAGATATTAAACATCAAAGCATTCGAAATGTACTGATGATAAATCTGCACATTAGCTAAAAACATAAAATATTTGACTCTTTAAGTTAAGTATCTTATGAAAAATTGTCCATGTTTCCCAATGATTCATGTCTAGTCATAGAGATATTTTAAAAATTCAATAACTTGTCTAAATGTAGACATATTAAAAACCGTGTATATTTATGAGAGATGAGAGATTAGATTTATTTCAGAGTAAGTGAAGTCGATTGCTTTTATTTATGAACTCTGTTAAAACATAATACTCGAAAAAACTATGTGATTTTTTAATTCAACTAGAAAATCTTTTTTGCGCTGATTGATTACTGATTATACTGTCCTGTATAATTATCAAATTAGAGGGCTATTTGTAATGGGGGTAAGTATTAACATGCGTTTTTCAATAAGATCTTTAATGATATTGAAATTCATTTTTCAAATGTAATATGAAATTGTTCATCATAAAACTTCGGTTTGCATTGTTATTATTGACTAATTTCAAATTTTATATATGTTATTCCTTTTCAAATTTATCAATCTTTGATAATGTATAACAATTTTTGTGATTGCTAAATTCACATCTGGAATAAGTTGAAACAACATATGACTGAAGTTATATTTTATGTATAAAACTCCTAATCGCATAAGCAATTACATGCCATTTGGGGCTAGTTGTAACATACAAGAATTATATACAGATTAAAGTGAAGAAGATTAAATGGCCCGTATAGTCTGTAAGATGTGGGCATATGAAAATTGTGTTATATGTAACTTGTGTTATATCTTTTATTTGTATTATAATAACAATTGCAGTTACGTTGATTTACGATAAAAAGTTATATTTACTTAGAAAGAATTCAATTTTTTCAAAAGTAAGTGAAAAATAAATTATCAGAGGTATTATAGTTATTTTTTGTCGTTACTATTTTACTTTTTCTAGCAAATTATTAAATATGAAATAATGAACAATAGTTGTGGAATTATTTCTATCTGATTCGGTAAAGAAATTGTTACAGCAACTATCTACAGTTTTTCGTAAAAATATACTCAGTAGATCTATTAATTAAAAAAAAACTGGTACAACCAGCCCCTAGACCTAGCTTCGGTCGACAAGGCCATTTAATAGCAAATACATCAAAATGTTATAAACTTTAATTAAGAAAGATTTATACCGTATCTCGTAATAATGAAAACGTATTTACATTTAAGAAAGAAATATATATTTTTAGTACTTTAGTATTTAGAACAGTCGTTCTGACCCTTCGGAGAGTGTATGGTAAATACTGGTAATGTTAAAGTTAATCGCAAAATTAAATTTGTGGCAACCACTACGCTTCAAATGCCTTATAATGGCATCACAATTTGAGTCTATAATGTTAAAACAATAAACTCACATTCGTTTCATTCTCAAGCGCCCGTACGAAGTCCTGTAGATATATAATTTTTAATAAGTAATCCTAAACCAGGCGATTGTAAGTATTGCTTGTTTTTCCTTATTCCACTAATAATATCGGCTGCCACATCAGCCCGCGTAAAATGCTTCCATTTGGTTTTTCCTACGGTTTGCTCAGCCACTGCTCGTACTCGAGTCAGACGAACCTGAATATGTAATGCTTTCAAAATATCACAATAAAATTACTGTGTTAAGTTTGAAATTAGATAAAAAATAATGTAAATGTCAGCAGCATATAGAAAATTGATGTGCTAGAATTGCAATGCATATGTTAGAAAAATGTCAAACAGATGAGAAACGAAGCTGATAAGGTTGGATTAGTGACCGCAATAAATAGACGCGGGAATGATTGTATCCAGTTTCTATTTTTGAAGCATTCATGTTAATAGCATGAACTGGAAGTTCAGCAATAAATCATACATTTACACACCTGACAATCTGTACGGCGCAATTCCCTTAGTAGCGCCTCCGCTAATTGTTCACCGTCGGGTCGCCTCGCTATTCTGCCAGCCTCAGGTTCTTGAATAGGATAGGCAGACAGCGTGACTAGATGTCCGCTGTCGCGAGATAACATCAGCGGCAAAAACGCCAAAGCTAACTGTAACATTACCTTTTTAATTGATGATTAAAGGATAACAATGACGACATTCGACAAAAAACTACATTTAGTAAACGCATTGTGCCAAAAAAGCAACTGTTACTAGTACGGAATGTGCGTTATATGATTTTTCTAGCGCATGGTGAATGCAAGTCCTGCAGCTTCAGAGTTACGGCGGAAAAGGAGCTGAAGTCAGTCATTTCAGGGTATTCGAGATAAACATATTGAAATATTAAAATTAGTATAGTGTTTTGATACCATATATTCCTTTTTTGAATTCAACGTCAGTAAAAAAGAATTTTCAAAATAGTATACCTTTTACTATCCTTTATAAGTATATCTTTTAAGGGGACGTTTATGTGATTTTTACAAGCATGTTTTAAACTGCCCCCTCTCTCTTTGTGATACTTGTTGATATTTAAAATTAACCCCCCTCTACTCTACCAAAACCCACGTGTACTTTTAGCACCTACAAACAAACGAAATTTTTTCAAAAAAAAATGCACGCGATATTTTAATAGAGACTCTCTGCCCCTTATAATATTTCGTAAATTTTTATCAAACATCTTTATCTTTTAACAACTTTTAACTTTATCAATATTTAGTCTGAGCAAGGGTTGTTTTCGCATTTTAACTGCAAAGGTTAATATGTGTTTAGTTATTTATACTAATTCACATTCTAAAAAAGCTTGAGAATTGCTGGCATATACAACATATTGCAATTATTTGTCACGTACAATTTCTTAATTTAATCTTCTTTCCAAGACTGGTAGTTTTATGCACACAACATGAATAACTATCCATAAACACTTGAATTGCTGATAAATTTTATTATATAACGATATGTGCCGAGTTATTTTTCGCCATTTCCATAAATATCTTAGATTTATATATAAAAATTGCAGAACGTCATTAAAAGAAACATCCGTCATAACAAAAATATCAATAAATGTTTCATAATTGAATTTAAATCACTCTAATTATTTTAAGTTATACTTTTGCTAAGATAATTATTATATAACATACACCTCATTCACCATATTTCACGGATAATTAAATTGCTAGGCGATAATTTGAATAAAATATACAATCAACAATAAATGATAATTTATGCAGAAACCTAAGAAATAAAAAAGAGATGTAACTCGCACATTGTTCCGTACTATTAATTATAATGGTATGAACATTAATGAAATATATTATCACACATTATTAATATATACTAAAAATAAATGTTAAAATTCTTCATTCGCGCAAAACAAATTACGCGCAAAACAAGATACTTTTCAGTATTGTGAATAACGTTTTATCGAATCGATAACTCAAAAATTAAAATAAAGGATAGTTTTATGATTGAGTCAAAACTTTGTTTTATGGGAAAAATATTTCAACAAATATAATCGAAATGAACCAAGTGAATTACAGAAAAATATTTTCACGACTCCATAAAAATGAATGACTTTTACTATGAACTACTTATATCATCTCATACAATTCTTAGGCTGATGTAGTGCTTTCCATGTATGTAACCTTCAAAATAAAAAAAAATACAAATTCTGAATAGCATATTCACAGTACTATTCAGGAACCTCTTGAATGATTCTGAAAACATACTTACACTAAAATGTGACATAAGGTCCTTATTAATAGAATCTATGGTTGCTGCTGCACTTTCTGTTCCATGAGATGAATTTTGTATTAATCCTTCCCCAATGATCAGAAAATCTACACGTTCATATTTTTGGGTTATTTGTGCACAGAGCTGATTTGCGTTAAATGCCTCCTTGGACCATACAAAACTGCTTGTACTCGGATCACCGCCTGCAACATGTTTCTCGCCATATACTATAATTTTACGATACTAATTGCAAAATATGTACACAAAAGATGGAAAATCAAAAGTGAGTATTAAATTATCAATTGATATCACTATTGCCCACCTTAATGAATAATATAAAGCTATAAAGAGCACTTTTGGTTTGTATAATAATATTTGCCAATTTAAGTATACGATACAAAATGAAACAATATATAGGGGAAGTACGGACAAAATGACATGGTGTCTTGTTTTTTAGCGATATTTATTTAATGACATTATAACCAGTTTCATAGTTATACTATTGAATCATTAACTATCAATAACATAGTCGTTTAATTAAGTAGGAACTATATGTAATAACATATTTATTAAGCAAAAAAACAACTAAGTAAAAATATTATTTTGCCCATATTGTACGGACAAAATGGAATATAAGGTAAGGACATACTGAGATACTAATGATCAAAAATAAAGCATTTGGTCCTCTTTAGAAAATTGGTACATGACGCATGATACCAAAAGGAACAAACCATACATCGTAACATTCGTAACCGACCTTTGCCGGGTTTAGAACTGGAAAAGAAGTCTTTATAATAAATGTCTCTACTTTTTACCGGTGGATCCTTTAGACAGTTTTTAGAATTTATCAATTTTATTTTTTATTGAACTCGAATGAACTACCCTATAGTTCTTGCAAAATTGTACCATGTTGTCATAGACCTCATAATACATATGTATTTTCTTTATGTTTCCTAAATATACCTAATGAACGGATATCAGCAGCGAGCGCGTCGGCGCATGCTGCTGAATTGTCGACGCAGGCGACCAGGCAGCGGTGCCGGACGGACAGCTCGGTCGCCAAGGTCGCGACCAGCGGATGAGAACAGTTCGTTACCTGCAATTAAAACATTTAGTTAATTCAATTAATTGAACAACAATCAATTTGAACAATACAATATGATATAGTAATACTTTGCTTAACACGAGGTATACGAGTACATCGCATCAAAGTAGAGCGTAATGCGAAACGCTAAACAAAGCTATCTTTAAATGGAAATATTGGGATTAGGGAAAAATAGCTAGGAAATTGGTTAGGTATTAATTTTAAAAAGTATGTTTTTTTTTTAATAAAAATTAAACATACCATTTATTTCTTAAAGTCCAATTTAATACCTTGCAAGAATAACAACGAAATATAAACTAGTGGTGTAAGGCATAGTGCCTTAAGGCAAATTGCTGATACTTTCCGTACCGTAACAAAATGATCGAGGAATATTAAATGTTTTCATATAGATTTTTATAAATATTGTAATATTGTATAATATTTATAAGAATTATATAAACTGAATTATTTTCAATACACAAAAAAATTGAAAAACTAATGGGGCATGGCATCGTGCCTTAAGGCACATTGCTGGAACTTCCCGTACTAATAATTATTTTCTTTTTTTTGAACAAAACATTTTCGAAAAAAAACTTTAAAAAAATTAGATTTTTGAGAAACTATACAACTTTGACAAAAATTTACCTTTTTTGAAAAAAAGACTTTTTGAAACAAAATGTTTTCTTTATTTTGAAATATTTTGGAAATTCTGAACTTTTTTTCAAAGCAATCGTACTGCTTTGACAGCATAGAGACAAAATATCAAAGCGCGTAAGCGCCGCGTTGCCGTCTAACGGATAAACATTGGTACGGAACCGATAGGAATGTAAACAAAATTTATACTTACTGTTAAAATCTCTATAAAATATCAGATAATTTGATGTGCATATGTCTAATGACCATTTTTGACCGCCAAATGGCTTTTTTTTACTTTTTTCACTAGATCTCCGAAACCGATAGAACTGCCTTCATAAAAATTTAATCAGTTCTTCATCTTGGCAATACAAGTAAAACGTTTTTTGTTACCGTTTGTGGCACTTTATGCCCCGTATCTTTGAAACGGCTATACCTGCCTATGCCAAAAACTAATCAGCACGTCTCCTTATTTAGAGCAATCGATTGTTTTTTGAATAATTGAAATCGCTTGATCCGTGTTCCCGAAATCGTCGACGAAAATTTGTATCCGCACACACATCCGCATACATCCATTTTTTTCTAACAATAAGTTATGCTAAAATGTTTAGAAGGTTTTGAAACGTAAAGATATATAAAAATTTTCATTTTCGATTTTTTGCGATTACTATAATTTACCCTACGGGAAGTTAAAAACTAGTAGTGCATGGCATCGTGCTTTAAGGCAAATTACTGGAACTTTCCGACCCAAAAATTATTTAAAAAAAAAAACGTAAAATTTTTTTAAAACTTTAAATAAATTAAATTTTTGAGATAAACAAAACCCATACAAAAAAACATACATTGTACGTATTGAAATCTCTATAAAATATCCGATAATTTGATGTGCATATGTCTAATGATCATTTGTAGCGTTTTTTTTTACTTTTTTTTATCAGCCTTTCCAAAAATTTAATCAGTTCTTCCTTTCGTCAATACAAATAAAATATTTTCTGAATCATTCAAATCGGATGCTCTGTTTTCTCAAAAACTGAATTGCAATTTTCGACATTTTTCACCCCGTATTCTCGAAACGGTTGGACCGGCCTTTATCTAAAACTAATCAGCGCGTCTCCCCATCAGTAGGAATCGAATATTGTTTAAACAATTCAGTTCGGTTGATTTCAAAATCGTCGATAAAAAATTGGATCCGCACACACACACACATACATCAATTTTTTCTAACAAGAAGAACCCGCGCATTGCTCGTCTCGGATTTTGATGAAATTTGGCACAGTTGTAGATTTTATGCCCAAACTGACCATGGTAAATCATTAGAGGCCTATGAAAAGCGGTTTAATTATAAAAGGTATGCCAAAATGCTGACAATGTATCAGAACCTGCAACAGAAAAGATTTTGTTTTCCAGTGAATGCGAAAATCTTTTTATCTAGCATCAATATTGATATATACAAAATTATATATAACTCTATTCATGATAATAAGATCAATTTATAAATTCTATTTATGATTAATAATTAATATATAATTATGATTAATAATTAATAGTTTATCAACACACAAAATGTAAATAAAATTATGTGAATATGTAAATGGCTTAATCGAAAGATCCATAGTCACTTAAAATAAATAAATAAAAAAGAGTGTGCTATACTAATTCAATACTATTTATTTGTTCGATTGAAAACAATAAACCCCATACCTACTGTAATTGAGTCTGCGAAAAATCTAATTCATTATTGTTATAGAAGAGTATATTCGAATTCCCAGCAAACTTATCTTAAGGAACGATTTCGAGTAGAAATTGGACATTTTTCGTTATAATATTTATACTTTGCATACGAGTATACTTACAAATACTGTAAATGAAACAGAAATATTATTAGATACGGTAACTTTTGAAATAGAGAATTATTTCTACCGTTATTACCGTGTATAAAATGCCGACAGATCTATTGCATGTAATAAGTAGTATACTTATGATAAATTACACATAAACAATTGTTCATGTGCAATGACGTTTAACATTTAGAGAGCTTTTACATATGAACGGCAATAAGCAAATTGTTAGTATTATTTCAATAATAAACAAAAGCTTCAGTCATTTCATAAAGCAATACAAGCCATTAGCAAGACTTTTAGTCCTTTTTCTTTATTTAATAAAAGAAATATACAGGACAGATTGTTCGGAGATAAAAATGTAAAGTGATCATAAGCGCATTATTTTGAAATTGTAGCAAAGACAATAGTACTGAATATGTAAATTTAAAATAATTTAAATAATTTAAAACATATAAGTATTTTAAATTGTCATCAGCCAATATTTACAGTTTGACAATGGTAACTTTACAAATAATTTAAAACAATCGTTAATTTTATATTTTGTTCAATAATTATACTTGAGTTGGCATAGGTAAAAAAATAGGGTTTAAAAGTCTGCGGGTAAAAAGCTCCACGACCAATATCTCAAAAACAAGTAAAATTAAGAATTTTTTAACAACAATATTTGAAAGTAGAAGGCAAAATATATGTAATCAGCCATCGACTTAAATCAGACAGCAAAAATTTTTTGTTTGTTGTTAGCTTTTTTGGTTGTAATCACTGTTGTTTAATAAAAACTAAGTATACATCATTTAATTGTTTCAGAAGATGTATTTTTATTTTTTATGTTAGATTCGATAAATGTTTTTATGTAACTTTGATAAAAGCTTACATGTGGGTGGGGTGAAAAGGGCCAATTAAACCTATACCCGGGCAAAGAAGTAAACAATAAAAAACAATTTTCCAGAAAATATGTTGAATTAATAGTTATTCTAATTCTGTTGATTACTATTTCTGACAAAATACCAGATCAAGGTTATATACATTGTTATCTTTGTAAAAAATGTGTCCATGAAATTTATACTTTGTATAGGTTAAATATTGTATATTGTATTTTGTAAAATCTCTTTAAAATTAAAATTGAAACATTGGATCTGTTTGCCACCTGACTGCCCTATTTTACTCTGCCTTTGGGATAAAAAGCACCAGGTGAAATTTTCTTGAAAAATAAGAAAAAAACATATTTCTAAAATGAGTTAGCAGCGAATTTTACTGAACATAGTATTGTAGTTGTTTATTTAGTACGTATTATGTGATGTGCTGTATTTTAGCATACCCTACTGTAATTTACTAATTGATAGAAATTCTAAATAAACATTTTGATTATATTTCTAAGTATCACATTGGGCAATTTGAAAAGTATGAAGAGATAATTTATTAATTTTGGGGTAGGATTTTCTTTTAATATTTGGTCATTTCATGCATTTTTAACTTAATATTATATTTTAAATTCAAAATTGATGTTATTAATGTGGTTCTTAATAAATCGAGCCAATTTTGAAGAAAACTTAATGTCTGTGCAGATAATACTAAAATGCTGCAAAAACCGTAATGTTCCGTTATTAGTTTTTCTACAAGATACAACTAATTACGCAATTATAATTGACCTATTGAAAAGAAAATGCCATGCAAGTAATATATAATATATTATGGGAAAAAATATTCAAATAGCTTTGGAAGAATTAACAAATACCACAACAACTTTTCCTTCAAGCGACTTCTGGGCGGTGGGAAGCAGATACCTCAGAACAACTCTTAGCGCCAGCAGCGCCGCAAGCAGACCTGCGGCGAACAGCTCCAGATACAGCCAAAGCTTGCGACTCGCCACGGACATGTCGCGATCTGGAACAGAAATGGGAAAATGTTAAAGATATTAATAACTAGTGGTGCCATACCTAAAACACCATACTTACATACCATAATTTCAAAATTTTAAAAGCTATTCAGTTGTTTGAAAACTTGGTAAAAATTTGATTTTTGAGAAATTTGTTTTTTGAGAATCGTTTTAGAGACGAAATAACTAAACGCGTAAGCGCCGCATGATAGTCTAACTATTAAACATTATAAATCTTGGTACGAAACCAATAGAAATGCAAACAAAATTTGTACTTATTGTTAAAATGTCTATAAAATATCTGATACTTTTATGTGCATATGTCTAACAAACATTTTTGACTGCCAAATGACAATTTTTTTACTTTTTCATTGTATTTCCGAAACCGCTAGATCTGCCGTCAAAAAATGTTTACGTATTTCGCCTCGTTTTCTCAAAAACTTAATTGCCAATCCTGTCGTTTGACAAAGGCAGTTCCTGCCGTTTCGGAGATACGGCGCAAAAAGTGAAAAAATAGCAGTTATTAAGACAACGGATCATCTAATTCAAAAAACATTTTGCTTGTATTGATCAAATGAAGAATTGATAAAATTATGGTAAGGCAAGTCTAGCGGTTTCGGAGATACAAAAAAAGTAAAAAAAAAAAAAGATATTTGACGATCAAAAATGATCATTAGACATATGCACTTCAAATTATCAGATATCCTATGAACATTTTAAATATGTGGACTAATTTTGTTGGGTTCCGTACCAAGATTTTTTAATTTTTAAAGTTCACTTTCAGTTCAAACAAATTTCAAAATTTTCAGATTTTTTTTTCGAAATTTACAAAAATACGTATGAAAATACATAAACTTTAAATTTACAATTCAGTTTAAAAATGTATATATATTTTACTCGTAAGAAATATATCCTCAGATGGATTCATTTGGCATTTTTAAGTATTTTGGGCGATAAGATCGTCACTGTATATTATAAGAATGGATAAATATATAGTAATATTAATTGTGTCTCTGAAAATATTCAAAACAATTGTAATTATTTATTGATCAATATTTATTGATTTTTTTTTCTCGAATATTTAATCTGGTTCGTTGACCATACGTCCCGGTTTGGCCGGGACAGTCCCAGATTTCCACCTTGTATCCCGGAATTTTCTAACAGCAATATTTGTCCCGGATTTAGATCTTTTGTCCCGGATTGTCCCGATTTTTTCGAAAACTAATACGAAAATTTACAAAAGGTATGAAAAAATGAACAAACGCTAATTCTTTCAAATTAATCATGAAGAATATTGTATAGAATTATATACAAGGCTCAAAAGCGTAACAACATGAATATCATATATACAAAAAGTATCACATATAATCGAATAATAATAAAAAAAGTTCTTATTAGAAGGCTGCAATTCTGATAAAAATTGATTCATATAAATAAAACCTGTTTTTTAAATTGTATCTTTAAATAGCGTTTGTTAGAGGCCCCCGACCCCGTCCCAGTTTTGATCTCAAAAAATATGGTCACCTTATAGTATAGGAGCCAGCAACGTTTTCAAAACAAGCATTTTAGTCAGGTTGATTTTTTGGTATGTGGTCCTTGGTGCTCTCTCGGTTAGGGTAGGGCCGTCTGGCAGCTGGAAGTGGTTGCGTTAATTAGTGCGCAGCCAATTTGTACAGCGCGATTTCAAAATTTTGAAAGCATTTTAGTCAGCCCAATTTTCGTTTTTTTGACTTCGAATAGGTTCACCAGACTCAAATTTTTTGTTGCCAGACATTTTGGGCGCTGCTAAATATGTGCCAGACGCCAATTTATTTATTAATTTTTTGAAAAATTCAAATCATTTTAGTCCGTCTGAAATTTTAGTATTATGTTCGTTAAGGGTAAAAACACGTAAAATTAATTTGCCAGACGTTTCTGCGGTTGTTAAGCATGTCTGGCAACGAAAAAAGTCTGGCAATATGATACTAGTAGACAGAGTGAGACAATCGCCAAATACATTGGCGCGAATGAAACAAAAAACTTTCATACTCGTATAAGAGCGCAATACGTTTACTAGGCAAAAAACCATAAGAAAAATCAAGTAAATGTATTAGACAGATGTGTTAGTGATGCCATGCACCACTAGTTTTATTATATATTCTTATCACATTAGTTATTATTTTTATATATAAAATGTGTAAGTTGCTGGTATCAAAAATATATATTTTGATATAAAAGCTAGCATTAAATATAATAATTTTAGCAAGTTATTATCATCTCACTTAGATATTAACAATTATGCAGAATGGAAAAACTAAAAATGAGTAACACGATGAAAAGTTCTCATCAGGCACTAGCAATTCTTTGCATTATCGGGCGTAGGATTAGCAGAAGAATGGGCTTGGCACTTTATATACATCATGTTTATATAAAAGCTAAAATATGAAAAAATGAGCAAATTATTGGTGCATGGCATCGCGCCTTAGGCAAATTGTAACTCGTAAATTATCATTTTTAAAAACTTTTTTTTTGAAAATTTTGATTTTTTTTAAACGATCACGCTGCGTAGCTGTTTCATGGCGAAATACCAAAGCCCATAAGCGCCGTTTCTCAGCCTCGGTTAAACATTATAAATATTGGTAGGATTTATTTTGAGATATTTCTATCAATATTAATAAAAAATGTTAAATTATTAAAAATTATGCTTTTAATACACTAGAAAGTACAATAAAAAACAATGATATCAATAAAAAACAATGATATCCATGGACGACATTCGTAGCGAAAAAATTAAAAGTTTTAAAACTGACCCAATGATTGGCAATAAAATCATTGGCAGCCGATAATCAAAAAACTTTAATTTTAATTTTTGTTTCACATGAGAAACTTCTCCCGACTGGAAATTAATATTAATTTGAAACAAGTTTCAGATGTCATGTTACCACGATAAAATTACGTAAACCATTAAAAGTAATTAATGCATTAAATTTGAATTATACATAGTTGATTTAATGCTAACTTTTTATGCAGTAGTTGGTCTTATTCCAAGGCCAACATATTTATCGCATTAATTATACTTAATTAAAATAATAATATAAATTGTATTTTTTTTTTATTTTGTATTTTATTTTTTTCATAATTTTCTTAGTATATTTTTGAGAAAAGAGCATTTATAAGTATTGATGCTTTAGTAAAACAAAAAAATGAAAAATATAAAATTAACCCCGGCAATTAAACCCTACTATTTTTGTTTTGTTGTTCGTTTAAATGTAAGACAGTTACATTTTCTAAACGACAAAGATATTAGAACTCCAATATGAGGAATATGACAAGGATCTAAAATTTAGATCCTTCATATTTAAATCTTAAATATAAAATTTGGTAAAAAAAATAGAAAAAAATATTTTTTATTCTAAATTAAATTAAAAAAAAAATGTAATAAAAAATAGGCACGTTCTTTCAACTTTCAACTCATTTCAGCAGAAAACAAAGAAAAACGCACAAATGAAAAGTCTAATATTATAATTTTGCAAATAATATATGTTTATATATTTATATTTCACATGTAAATTAGTGAAAATAGTATATATCATACGTTTTCAGCACAAAATAACATTATTCCATAAATTTATAGAGTCATCGATATAGAGAAATCATGACTTTGTAACAGTTCAAGGTTCAGGATATCAAATGAGGTGTGGTGCCATTAAGTTTCCA